CTTAGCATTCTACTTTAGAAACTTAAAGACTTTTTGTGCTGCAGGAAATACAAAAACAAATGTCTTCAGCCAACCAAGTGACCCTCTGACGGTTATTTAGGACTGTGTTTCCATTTGATCACCGTGGCCTGGGTTCCTGAATGTGGAACTCTGAGCTGGTCCAGGTCCCTGAGGGATTCTTGTTTGCGTTAGGAAGCTGCCTCTGACAACCCTCGTGATTGACGATCAGAGAGTCGGTGATGCACTGAGCCTTCATTATGGATAAATGCCGTCCCGCTATAGTTTACTTGAAGGTCAGAGATAATGGCTGGCCCAGTACACGGGACAGTTTGCATTTACCCGAACTTAAAAAAGTTGCTGACACAAATAGAAGATTCGTAACATTGATTCTATAAAAATAATTTTCCTTTTAAAAGGGTTACCCCTTGTTAGTTTGTTCTTTTGGAAATTATCTGCTCCGTTTATGTTCCTCCTCTTAGGAGATTAGTAACAACATGTCATATTTAGGATAGTATGTTTTTCATAACCTTCTGGGGGAGACGTACTGTACGCTGTAACTCTCCTCTGAAAGTGGGCGATATTGTGTGTTCTCTAAGTAGTAGGTAAATGACTGCTATTTCGAGCAGGCTTCTACATACTCACAGATGCTACTTTAGATTTGATGGGCTGGATGACAGCGGAGAGGACTGACCTTGATGGTGACCACACTTGAAGGGTACACGAAGGCAGGGCCTCCTGTGTTTACCTCAGTTGTTGAATCTGAAAAGCTTTGAGAGACGTATTAGTCATGAAAGAAACAAAATGTTGCAGAGCATATCGTTCTTGTAAAAGTAACTAACGAAAAAATTAATGATCAACTCTTAAAGAGAACTACAGAGGTAGGGGTGGGAGGTGCATTTTAAGCCATCGACCATAGTATAAATTGTTGGATATGTTGTGTTTGCTGATGGAAATAGATAAGGCATTGACACAGGAGCTAATTGTTCTATGAGTGCTGTTCAAATTGAGGTTATGAAGATGGAATTATCATTATGGCCGCAGTGTAAACATGTCACTACTTTATGTAAACAGAGGAGGCTGTATGACGATGCCCTGGTTCTATAGCTAACTGCTGCTGCTTCCACAGACTCAGGTGCTCAGTGAGTACCAACCATGAGTCACTACTGCTTCTCCTGATGTTCTGAAAACCAGGGTACTTAAACAAAAATTGTATCTTCATCGTTCAGCCTCTGAAAGTTCGAGACAAGTGAAAATAAGACAAGTGCCATTGGCAAACATCTCTTGGGAAGAAGTGACGGAGGCTAAAATATGACATTCTCATGTTCAAACTCTTAAAGCTAACCTCAAGTTGATGGTGGAAATTTTAGAAACTATTGTAATTCTCCACCAATATTTCATTGTTCATTCTTAGGTAAAGATCTTCGGGACAGGGAGGGAAATAATATTCGATATCCAAATATTATTTTTCTTTCTGATTACTTTTAATAAAATTCTAGTTCGGTCATGGAAGAAGTTGAAAGTTCAGGATTTTTACCCACTAACATTTTTTCAATGGCAGACATGCTCGTGAGAATTTGACCTCATATCCACCTGAGCGTTCATGACTACATCTGCCCAACTTGTGCATAAGAGCGCATAGTGCTTCCAATTACAGTTTGAATTATTTCTGTTAAAATTTGAGGGTGTGCAGTTTTAAGTACTTGGAGTATGTAAGGTAATTATTTCTCACAGGTAAAACTCACACATAAAGTTTCTTCAGCAACCTCGATTTTTTCCCTGCAGTTTTAATTCTATCCACCTAACTCTTTTGGGTAACCCAAGATGGCAGTGATACCATTGCCAACATTTGTTAAATCATCCAGTATTAGCTCTACTGCACACGGCCTGGGGCGGTTCGGTTCTGTAACTGCAGGTGCATGTTACATCACTTCACGGAGCTGCTTGTTCGAGCATCGGGAAACCGCATTTTCCGAGTGATTGTACCATGTTCCAACTAGAAGGCCCCACAGACCAGAAGGCACCCTCCAACTAGAAACTGCTCAAATATGGAGAGAGGCTGGGGCCCCGAGCCCGGCGGGTCTTGCAGTGGTGGCAAGGGTGCCCTGGAGTAGGACGATGCCTGCCCACGCTCCCGGGGAGTGACGGGGAGTCAGCTGGCTGCACTTGAGCCGGTGGCTTCTGCCGCTCGAGGAACAGTCCTGCTGGGGGTGGAGCGAGAATGAGAGAAGTCTTTCACCGACTCCACAGTATTCTTTTCCCAGAACTGGAGGGGAAAGTGGAATCGGGCCTGAAAAGAACCAAAGAGTCGAAATGGCCGTTGGCCTTGAGCATGGGTTGCTAACACGCAACGCCTGACTGTAGGCAGCCTGGCAGACGATCCCTTGCCTGTTCTAATGGACTACTGCCTCCAAGGCAGGCCGCGCGCTGGGTGGTCATTTATGGCGTGAAGACAAGCAGCTCGCAAGTTGGGAATTGCATCTCCAATTTTATTAAGATATTTCTTTTAAAATTATCTCTGTCTCCTGAGCCAGTCAAATACAATCTTATTGAAGGAAATATCAAAGGGCTCTTTCATATTATTTGTTATAGTGACATTTCACTCAATTGTGTATTTGTCAAAAGAGTTCTGACAAAATATATTAGTCAATATATAGACACATCTTGAACCCAGGTAATTTTCTAAAGGTTGGCATGGTCCTGGTAAGCACAGTCATTTACTAACGTCATTTATTTTGGTAACTCAATGAGATATAGTACAAAAGGCCCCTGATTCCTGTGTTAGAATAGAAACAAGTATTAGTGTCTATTGGTATTTTAGTGTACAATTTTATCAGGCCTTTGGTTTAACTGTGTGGCTTCAGAAAACCACATAAACTATGAGCCCTAATTTTTTTCTTTCCCTGGTTGATTACTAGTGTATCCCTCAATCTTGATTTGAAATAGAACCCCAATTCGTGACTGATTTGTTTTCCCCAGGGTCTACTTCAGGAAAAATCTTACTGTAGTTTGTTTTTGTTTTATTTTGTAAGGCGTCTCTTCTAATAAGAGAATGTTGGTTGGGATGCTCCTTAAATTAAAACAATGCTAAATTGTCCAAAGGGTTTGGTTGAAGCAAACACTTTTGTCATTGATTTTAACAATTCTCTTAAACTTGAGAGGCCTTTGCCAAACAAAAGTGTGTTAATACTGAGATATCAGCTATGTGATACAGAAGCCCTGGCAGAAAGGAGTTTTGAGAACACCCCGAGGAGAGTGGCCCAATGTGGAATGGACGATTGGCTGCTCAACTGGATCAACAGTGAGCAAGTCCCTAGTGAGAGGCAGAGGTGCACAGCCTTGGGAGCCCATCCAAAGAGTTCATACAGGTGGTTCATAGGATGAGGGAACAGGAGAGGACCAGGGTCATTCAGGGAGGAAGAAGTGCCTTAATAAAGCCTCTGATATGGAACCATTTGATCTCCACAAAACAAAAGGATGCCAACATGTTGGTGGGGTAGCGGGTTGCCCCACTTGGCCATCCTTGAACATTGTATAGATCTCCTGCTATGGTTTGTATCAGGTTATTTGATTTGAACTGAGCTAAACATGATTTCATTTCCCAGAGCAGGGTGAAGCTGCTAGAACAGCTGGCAGTCCTGTGTCACCTTCTGCTTCTGATTTAATGGTCGGTTATAATGGAGGAGGACATCTGATAGGCCATTAAAATGCTCTGTCCCACTCCGTTCTCTCCCTGTTGGCTAGTGGGGGGATCCGATTGCACTGCACAGCCCATTGGTCAAGGGAAAGAGTAAGACCTCAGCAGCCTGTGAGGTGACAAGGGGAGCCCCTAAGAACACAGGACAAATGAGAGTGACCGGGGATCCCAAATATTCCCTGACAATGGACAGCTAATGATCTTTGTAAAAATAAGCGGGGATTAGCAGCTTCTATCTACCATGCTTGGTGTACTGCCCACTCTTATGATGGTGGCTGTCCACAGCTCAGCCTCCCTTCCAGATCAGAGAGCTCTCTTACAGACGCAGGAAGAATGCGTATCTGTTTCCTGCCTTCCCAATGAGCCTTCTAGTGATCCCTTCTCAGGAGATTAGATTCAAAGGATCCACTAATGTTAAGAACAAGATCAGAAAGCCTGAAAGCTGCAGATTCGTGGATGTGCAGAATTCTAAAAATGTTCTCAGCCTCCCTGTGGATGTAATGATCTCCCTCAAAAACAGCTTGGGAAAATTCACTTTTCTGAAAGGAGGAGAGGTAGCCGGGCTCTGTTCCTTCGCTGAGTGTTTGCCTTTCTCCAAGTAGTGCCTGGAGAAAGTATAGGCGCTAGGGGGCCATTCCCAGTGCCTGGAGGGTGGCTGGGGTCCTTAACAGGTCTACTTAATCATGCCCTGACTCTATTAGATCAGTTATTCAGTTGTCAAGTCACAGAACTACAAATATATAGTTTCTGACTCCCCCTCCCCCCCCCGCCCTAATTATTCATGAGATTAGCCTTTTTTGGAAAAAAATGTTGTGTTTTGTTAAATATCTTTGAAAAATATGCCAACAGAGACCACTGTATGTCTTTCCCTTCTAGAAGGGTTTAGTAAGAGACAACTTATTGAACGTGAGGATGTGATGAATCTGCATTTTCTAAGACTTATGGGATATGGCATTTGGCTTGCTGAGTGAGCATATTTAACTTAGCTGTAGAGTATCTTGGGTATCCTGAGTTTTTTTAAAAGAACTCGTTAAATGTTCTTAATGGCCATTCCTTGAGGGGCATTACTGTCCTCAGTAAATGAAAGATGACATGTGGACATCTATAGAGATGACACTTGGTTAAGTTTTCTTGCTGGTCTACAAGTGCATTCACGAGCAGTAGACTCTCAGGCCAGACCATGTTAGCTGTTAGCCAAAGGGGAAAAAAACATCAACAAAATGGCGAATGCTTATTCGGCAGTGAAGTTAAATATTGTTATGAACGACTTTTGTTTTAATAACAAAGTTGTTGCTTTTCTACTAAGGGCTCTTTTAGGTTGTCCTCAGGGGCTGATGGGAGTAACAGCTCAGCCAACTCTCCAGCTAGCTTCAGTGGACATGCCACTCCTTCTCAGCAGCCCGAACCCGTGGTGCACTCTCTGAAGGTAACCACACGTGTGCAGCCATTTGTGGGACTGCAGTTGTGTTGTGGCTTGTCCGCTGTAATTTGGTAATCCTCATAGTCTTGTTTAATCATACTTTTCTTTCTGTTGTTCTTTGGTTTGGCCCTTTGTGGTGCAATTTTTAAAATCTTATTTTATAAAGTATGATTTTTGTTGTTTTTAAAGCAAATATGGGCTTTGCATATTTATGGTTGGAGCTTTGATTTTTATCATTCTGTGTTTAGCACTGTGATTCATGTCTATCTGCGTTACACTTGAAGTCTAGTGTGCATGTTTACCACATGTGTGAGATATTGTTGTAGGTATTTTATGTGCAACGTTTGCAGCATGGGTGTCTTCAAATATAGGGAAGTTGATAGTTGGCTACACGAGGAAGGGCATCTTTTTCTTTTTGCAATTACAATGCTTTGCACAACCCACTGAAAGAAAATATTGAAATAAACAAAAACCTACTCTTTTCCCTAAGCAGAAATCAGATGTTAAAACTCGAGTCAAAGCTCCTTAATAGAACATTAGAAAGGCAACAGATGGTTTTATACATAAGATAACTTATTTTGTACCTTTACATCAGACACTGCAGTGACTTGAACAAAGGTTTGGCAAATAAAACTTACTGTTTACCCATGTGGGGAACCTTTCTCTGCCAAGGGCCACTTGGATATTTATGACATAATTCCAGGGCTGTACAAAATGATCAATTTAAAAATTAGCCTGATATATTTGGTCAAACATTTCATTAACTCACCCTGCAAGTGGTGGCTGGGCCTGCTTTCCTTAGGTGAGGCTCTGCATGTTCGCCCGTGTGGATGATTTCTTGGGTCTTACATGGCCCACAGACTGGAGGTTCCTCACCCCTGAATAAGTAGTAAGCCACATCGATAAAAATTAATACGAATTAAACAACAAAGTTATTTACCTAAGGGGAGAAAAACTAGCAAGAGAAATCTTGTTTATAATTCTGACAGATCCTTGAAAGCATATCACACCCAAATCTAAAATACTACCTGTAAAGGCGGAACTGAGGACCAGGGAGGAAGACGGACGTATCTGGCAGGACAAGGGAGAGCAGAAACAGAAACAGCTTTATTAGGGGTTAGGGGAGCTCCTGGAAGAGGTTCCGTGACCTAGACCAACAGGTCAGGGAAGTCGTGCTCAGCAGCTGGGGGCGAGGGTTTTAAAGGGGTGGTGAGGAATGTATGGCAATTAGCATATGGGGTCTGGAAACTGGGAGAATTGCTTGTGGACTCCTGGAAGATTTCTTTGACCCGGGAACATCAGGTTTCACCTGTTATCCTCTCTGGCGCCGACTGCTGCTGACCTCTGGGACGTGCAGGGAAGCACGTGCAGAACCTGCTTCAGCTTAGTCCAAATGGGGTCTGCCTAGTTCAGACCCACCCCAACATTCCAAACTTCTTGTCTGAAGTACTTCCTGGTGAGATAGGTCTAGGAAGGGGATTAAGAGTTGGAAGGTTTGGGGGCCGGGCCGGTAGGCCTTGGACTGTAAGGGTGAAGAAGCTGATTGAAGGTCAGGTTGGAGATATGTTTCATCCATTCCTGCAAGAATCTAAACACACAGAGAGCTAAAAGCAAAAGTGCACGGATTATTATCAGAGACCCGATGAGGGGCACAACCCAGGCCATGGCAGGAGTTTGAAACCATGAGAAGCTGGTGGTGCTTCACTGACGTTTCCCGATTTGACTGGCCATGGTGCGGAGTACCTTAACAGTTTGTTTAACTATGCCCGATTCATTAATATAATGACAACATTATTTATTTAATTAGAAACATGCATGTTCCTCTTTTATCTGCTGTTAATAAGTGAAGAACTTGGTGATTTTGTAGGGTGACTTGTGCTAAGGATGTTAACTGCCTTTGGAGGGATACCAGAGTAATCAGTGTGGTTTTTTTTTTTGCAATGGATGATGGCTACTTTTGCTGGCCGCTGAAGAGCCTGTCAGAGATGAACTATTAATTTACCGTTTACTACGGGGGACTCTGGTAGTCAGGAAATCCCCGTTCCTTCCAGATAGTGGCCTGACAGTGAATTATAAGGAATGCATAATTAGAATCAGTATATGAATCAGTCATTTCCCTTTTTGAGAAGCAGTTTTTATTGGGAGGCATTCAGCTTTCCCGACTCAGTCAAGTGAGAGGACAGCATAAGCAGCCTGCCATGGCTCCCTGGGCAGTTAGGACAGAACTGCCATCAACAAAGTTAGCTCTGGGTTAGGATAAGGTTGGGCAGAGAGTCTGGGTGGGGCCGTGTTAGTTCAACTGCCCGGGGGCAGGAGTGACCACTAAGTTCCAGCGAGTTTAGGAGCTGAGGCGAGAGGGTTGCTGGGTTTAAAGAGGGAGCCTGGCGCAGAGTTATGTTAGGGTTCTCGATAAACATGGGATAGATTTCCTGCAAGCGGCTTGGAGACAGCAAAGACAGGGCTCAGTGTGAGAGGAGGTCCTGCAGCCTGTGGGGACAGGCTTTCCCCGGGTTAACTTTGGGCGGTGGCTGCTGCCAGGGCCCGGAGGCAGGGTTGCCAACCTCTGACTGTCATATTTAGATGTTTAAGACAGACAAGCAATAGGGGATAGAGTCTCAGGGGCTGAGCCAGGACTCCAACTGCTATACCTTGTTTTTTGCCTGTGTAGAGTAAAAAAGGTTTGGCAGGGTTTGGTAGACGCAGGGGTGGGGGTGAAGGAGGGCCTGTAGGAGTTTGTTAAAGGCAGCTTTGACTGAGAGTTAAACTCTGAATGGTGGGGTGGGGCACAGGCTTAAACAGATAGCAGCTGGATGAGATAAGTGTGTCGTGGAGGGCGAGAGAAGTGAAGGGAGTTGGGCTGTGTCTGCTTTAGATCTGTTTTAGGAGGGGCTGCAGGTAAAGGCAAAGGAATGCTGACAAGGTGGGTTAAGGGGATGGTGGAAGGGAGAAGGTGGGACAGAAGAGTATAGGGGTCGGAACTACTGGGTGTATGGAGATAGCAGCTTCGTTAATGAGGCACAGGTCCTAGACCAAGCGATAAGTACCATTTGGTTTCTCTACTGGTAAGATTAGAGTGCTGCAGGGAGAGTGGTTGTTAGAGAGGTTGTTAGAAAGGAGGCATTGTATGATGTGTTAACATTGGGAAGCAGCGAGGTCTGTAGGGCCAGTTCTTCCAGGTCGGGTGAGAGAAGGGGAAGGAGCAGAGGTGCTGTGAGACCAAAAGTAAGGGGTAAGGAGGTTCCTAACTAATTTAAAATGTCTCCTCCCAGCAGAGGGACAGGGCACAAAGGGATTCTAAGGAAGGAATGAGTAAAGGCTGGTACACCTGGGGCAGGTAGGCTTGCCTAGCCCTGAAAATGAGGGCAGGTCAGAAAAGATAGCTCTGTGTAAGAAGGAAATTTACTCACCTAATACCTTGAGCAATACCCCAGGCTTGGCGAGGGTGACGGGGGTCCAGTCAGGGTCTTCTCAGACTTCGGCCAATCCCAGCAGGGCCAACGGCGGCTCAGGAATTGGAAGGGCAGTCGTCCCCACGTGGAGATGCAAAGGGACTGTCGCTTTTCCAAGGACAGTCGGACTTCCAGTGTCCGCTTTGACCGCACACTGGGCAGGGTTTGGTTGGAGCTTTAGGCCTGGGGCACTTCTGGGACCAGTGGCCTTCTCTGCACTTGAAGCAGGCACCAGGTGGTGGTCCTTGTTCCCATACACCCTTGCCCGATGCTGCCCATCTGGGCCTCGGGGGAATCGCCAGCCGCAGGGCTGCTACTAAGGCTTGGGTTAATAATTTACCTTCTGCCGGGACCAGGCTCATGGGCTGACTGCCTGCTCCTCACGGCTGTTAAAAACCTTAAATGCCATATTCGCTAAATCTCGGACCAGGGTTTGAGGACCTTTCTTCCGCTTTTCAAGCTTTTAATGTAAAGCATCAGTTAAGCAGCTTAAAAAGGTGGCTGGATTTTCATCAGGCTTTTGAGTGATCTTAAGATGATCAAAATTGACTCCTATATTGGAAATGGCCTGAACCCAAGTCTGGGCACACCGAAGCGTTTTATTACGGCAGGCATGTCTGTCCCTGCCTGCTTGATTATCAATTTGATAGCTTTAACCATGTTTTGTCTGGGAACCACTTAGATCAGGGTGGGTTAAATTAACCTGGTTTGGGTGCTGCTGAACAGCGAGAAAAATGCGTTCCCTCTTATCTGCGGTTAGGGTGGAGGAAAGGATGACAAAAATATGCCAGGATAAATCATAAGCTTGATTTAAATACCAAAACTCCTTAATATAGGTGGTGGGGTCACTATAAGGGAGCCTAAACACTTTTCAATCTGAGATAAATCAGCGAGAGGAAAGGAACCTGACCACTCTCTCTCAGCCCTGGCCACTTTACAGGGAGTTCTGAGGTCGCATGTGCTTGCTAACCGGTGAGGCAAGTGCAGATTCGGTTCCTCCAGGGAGGCAGGTAGACCAGGAGAAGACGACGACGTGGGGGGGCTCCGGGTGGTCAGTATAGGGAGAGGGGCGAGTAGGAGGGGAGGGGAGACAAGGTGTTCAGGCAGGTCTGAAAAGGCAGGGCCCAGAGGGGGTCCAGAAGGAGGAGGAGAGGAATTCTCTCTAGTCACGAGGACTAGGGAAGGGAGATCAGGGGAAAGGCGGCCTGGATGCAGAATCTCAGACTATCTGTGAGTTTACTGGCAGAAACTGTCTGGATTCCAGAGGACACTGAAATGTAAAGTTCAGAGATTAAAGCTGTTACTTCCTGGAGCTTTCTGACTTCTGATTATTTGAGGTTGCAGGGAACGTTAAAATCGAAATTGCTATTTTCTGGCTAGCGCAACTCATTGTCCAATTGGTCCTTAGGCCAAACTTGGTTACAGAAAAAGACCAGGCATTTAGGGTGGAGATCAGGAGCCAAACCCAATTTAGCAAGGTTGGCAGTAGGCACCCCAAAGGACTGTCCTTAGGGGCTTGGGTCAGAGGACATGTCATGGTGTCTCAAACTGCAGGGG